GGCTGATGGCTCGGAGCCTGGAGCCTGTTTCCGATTCTGTGTCTCCCTCTCTCTCTGCCCCTCCCCCGTTCATGCTCTGTCTCTCTCTGTCCCAAAAATAAATAAACGTTGAAAAAAAAAATAAAAGGAACCACTACGAATTGTTTGGTACTCAGAAAAGTGATTCAGGAGGTTGAGTTCTCTAAGAAAAAAAAAATAATCTACTTATCTCTTACTAAAGTTTCTGATTTTGCTTTATTACACTACCTTTCTCATCAAAACTTCTACATCATCCATAATATTTAAATGATTGAGTGTACTTGCCAAATCTCTTAATACTGCTTTTGTAAAGGCATATTGTTGATGTAATTGATGTGATAAATTGGAAATGTAGCACCGCGGCAAAATAGTCTTTCACTGAAAACTTCTTTAATCAATTGGGAGCAGAGTCAGAACACCTGTATGTTTGCATTCATTCATGTCCCAGCAAGAATAGGCAAGAAGAACTGCTTTGGCCACCTTGGATGGAGGCTATGGCTTTAGCAGGCAATTTAATTGTGTGGTTTCCTAACAAATACAAGAGGTTCAGTGTTTGTGGAATTAGAGCACAACTAAAAAAATCATTAAAATTATTTATGGATGAACAACGAAAGTAGTTTAACTGAGCAAATTATGCAAAAGCTTGTATCTGATCGTTCACAGATACCTAAAGCATGACTCCTTACAAAACCATGTCAGACTATTTCCCTATACATTCCTTTCAAGTCCTGGGTATGTCAGGGGTTATTAACACAAGTTCTGGAGAAATGGGAAGTTAACTCTAAACAGCGCTGATGTTCATGTTTCCCTTTCCTTAATGGAACTGTAAGTTTCATATCCGCATATTTCATTATGATACCAAACGGACTCAACGAATATGCTATATTTCCAGGTCTATTATAGCTGCCATTCCAAACAAAATATGTCTAACTTCTATGATTCACTAAGCACAAGTATGTAGTAATCTGCCCTTTAATGGCCTCTCAAAATGACAGACCAAATGGCTTTGTGAAGGTCAAGTCTGATTTAAATTGTTGATGAATTAGTAGCTAATTCTGCATGATTGAATATTAATATGGAACAGTGATAAGTAAGGCACTTTAAAGCTTAATGAACACATTAATGAATAGGACAAAATGTTTTTCTTTTCACCTCATGTAAAAGTTTAAAGCTGCTAACATATTGACGATTTGTTAATTTTTGATAGCTGCTTCTTTTTTTCTGTAAAAGTTTATGTGGTTAAGATATAAAAGATATTGATTTTCCCCCAAGTTCCTGGTACTACACATTTGATGAGCTGTCAAAGTTGATGTTATCAAATGGCCAAAGCAATTTTATATAAATCACTAATAAATGTAGAAGGTAAAAAGAAAGCAATTAACATCTTCTAAACTACACCCACTGAGATAAGCATTCCAATTAGAAATTTCATTATTTCTACAGTTCGTTTTATGTTGAATACTGAGTTTTATTGCCAAATACCTGACAGTCAAATTGGAAACAAGCCACAACTGTCAACATATAAGAGCTCTGGCTATTTGAATCTGTTACATTGTGATGTTTCTCATGAAAAATTAATGAAGAAAGTACATTCAAAAGAGATTCTGTGCAAAGGTGGGGGATGGATAGAATTTAATTACCCTTATTAAAAATAGGAAAGGAGCACTCTTTACATCCTCTGTCCGATTAGTATGCAAGAAAGATTATCTTTGTTGTGCACTTGTGTATATGAAAAGGGGGCTCTGGAGTGTTCTTTATGAGCCAAGAAGGAAAAGAAAGGTCATGCAAATGTATTAGACTGCTTTTGATAGGGCACAAGTCAATTTTGTCAGCTCTCCCTAAGGTGAGGATTTCATTTCTTATAAATGGTTATTAATTCTAGATTTCTTTAGTAAGAGCCTTCAGTAAGTGGCTCAACAATCTTAAGTCTTTGACACTTGCCACTTGATACTGAATAGTGGTGTGGTTCTTCAGAGATGAACGTGTAGAAGAAAAGTAATGGCTAGTGGGTCACTGTTAATGCATGCTAATGTAACTAGTATTTAAATGCCTGGGGGTAGATACAATGCCCTGAGAAATAGAGAAACAGCTCAGGAATCTCAAGGTGAGTTTTTATGAACCTAAGTTCGTAGTGTTAAATATGGAAAAGATAACAAAATCTAAGAGCTTTTTAAGAAACTCATTTCTAGGTAACTAAGCCAGTGTAGTTGACTTTGGAGCACTCCAGGTAAAATGCTTTGAAGCATTTTGGGTCACTAGACACCAAGCGAGATGTTTAATATGATGTGTGTAATACAATGGCTATTGATCTATCTGCTTTTTTTTCAAGTAATATTAGAACAATGCTATAGGTAGAAATATATCATATTGACGAAACTTAAAGTCACAAAGAACAGACTGATGAAATTCATTTGGAGTACATTATCAAAATTAGCCTAATTTGCAAAATGCTCTATTCCATTTGTAATTTTTAACTTTCCCTTGGAGCTCCGAAAAACCATCTTGAAATTTCATCCTTAACTATTGTTTCTGGCTTTTGTCCTCTAAAGGCCTTCTGCTTGGCTGATGATGTGTGAGCATTCACATAAACAGGATGTATTCCTGCTTCCTCGAAAGAATCTTTCAACCTAAGTAAAATGTTAACTCATCGTAGTGAATTGTTTTTATAACTTTTTTTGTCTCCAGCTGTAACTAGCTGGTGGGACAGGTAAATATTCTCTAGTGAATTTAGATGTCAAGCCCAACTTGCCTTAGCAACGTCTATTGGTCTTTCATAATCTTCCTGCAGAAGAGCTAGGGTCCATACCTGCCTGTTCTGTTTGCCTCCCCAGTTTCTCTTATAACAATCTGGACTTGTTGAGAGAAACCTTCCCCTTATTGGGTGCTTTATTCTTTGATAATAGTTTGACATTTGTTCACTAATCACATTCAAAATCTCTCTCTGTAGTCCTGAACTATTTCTCTGATCAAGTCTTTACCAGAAGTAGTTTCCTACTATATATAGTAGAAAAACATATTTCTTTCTTTTCTTTTCTTTCTTTTCTTTTCTTTTCTTTTCTTTCTTTTCTTTTCTTTTCTTTTCTTTTCTTTTCTTTTCTTTTCTTTTCTTCTTTTCTTTTCTTTTCTTTTCCCTTTCCTTTTCTTTTCTTTTCTTTTTTTAACCACTAGGTTATATTCTTATTTAGGCTTGGGAATCATTGGAGGTTCTCTGAAAAGTCTGATAATACAGACTAGTTTGATGACAAGGGATTTTGATATAAATGAGATCTGGAGGAACTCACAGTGTAGGGAGATAAACTCATAATAATAAATACAAGAAAATGGATTTTAGTTATTCACTGCTACAATAGCTCTGAGGAGGAAAATGTTACATGTATTTGAGAGGGTTTTTATTATAAAGAAGGTGATTTTGGCTGCATGGCTTTCCAGAGACCCAGAGTACTTATTGTACATGATTTGTCTAGAAAATGGTAAGAGTTACAGTGTGAACAGAAGAAACTTTGCTATGGGGGATATCATCCATGAGAGATTGAGAAAAATGGGGCCTGATTTAAAAGGATTTTGCTAGCTAAATTTAGGAGACTGAATTTATCATGTAATGATAGAGGGGAGGCTGTAGAGGACACATATATTTGACTGACAACACAGCAGAAGCATCAAAATAGAGCCTTTTTCCTAGAAATTATAATGCAGACTTCAGCAATACTCATAGGATCATACCATAAATTGCAGGTGAAATCCTAGGAGAAGTGAGATGCCCTATTTGATGATTTCTAACTTTTTTTCTCACTGGTGTTTGTGCTTTTGAGTAATTTTGGAATTGATGGCTCATGAAAATTAATCAAAGATCATGAGGGACAGTTGATTAAATTAATCCCAGACCCAGTGAGAACTCAAACTATTTTATAGCGGTTTTCAAACAAACTGCTAAGTTCTAATTTGGATAATAATCACATATATAACTAAAATTCCTTCAAATTAAAAATTTCTTCAAGATAGAATATACCTTTCTAATGCTGGCTGGAAGAACTGGTAATGTAAATTATTAATGTGGATCATCATGCTTGGGGGATTTAAGAGGAATTTAACTTCTCAAGATCCAAGATCTGGGACAATTTTGATATAGGATAGGGAGAAGTGAACTTTGGATGAGTTGAGGATTCAAAATTTAGGAATTTGAACTCTTAATTACTGAAAATGGTATAGGCCTTTGGAATGGAGGAAAATATTTTCTTACTCTGAGGAATATATACTTTTGTGTTGCTTTTTCTGAGTTTCTTTTCTTCTTTTGTAAGGGAGTCTTTTTCAGACAATTTTCAGATTAATGGAAACTCCCTACAAAGAAATTCATTCAAAAAAAAAAAAAAAAAAGAGAGAGAGAGAAAAAAAAGAAAAAGAAATTCATTCAGGTTGAAGTTGACCCTTATGAAAAAATACAGAGTTTTACTTAAAAATCACAAGAAAAACAGCAGATTAGAAATGAGGTAACTTAATCCAGCTAATCTGTTTATTCCCCAGATGCTCTCCAAAAGAGCTCTACTGGACCCCATTGTTTTCCCTCAACAGAAAGTTCCCTAAGTGCTTATCCTTGTGATGTTCCCATCTTTCTGGCCAATTCCACTTGTTCTTAATGCCCATTTCAGAGTCTCATTTGAAGCTGACCTCACTGACCTCCTCCAGCACACATTCTATAATTTCTTCTTCCCCCACGATCCTAGAAATAGATGTGGTTTTTCATCATGTTCTTTATCACATGTATCTGAGCTCTTTGTTAGAATATTGGTCTCTTACATAGACTGTGCATTCTCCTGGCCAGGAACAACATTGTGACTGTATCCTAATCTAATAATGCAATGCTGCCTGGTTTGTGTTAGCTTCTCAACAAATGCCAAATAAGGCAAGGGGAAAGATTAATGGACAATAGCTCTTGAATTTTGGGCATCTGATTTATTGACATGTTTGTATCACCTTTTGTCTTGCAGAGGATCAAATTCCTAGGGGCTTCCCTACCATTGACATGGGCCCACAGTTGAAGGTGGTTGAGCGTACACGCACTGCCACCATGCTTTGTGCAGCCAGTGGGAATCCGGATCCAGAAATAACTTGGTTTAAAGATTTCCTGCCCGTCGACACAAGCAACAACAATGGCCGTATTAAGCAATTACGATCAGGTAGGGTCTTGTTACTGTTTCCACTAACTCTTAGAGAATTTTTTTTTTTAGCTTTCTCTCTCTTTATTTTTATTTTAATTTGATTTGATTTGATTTTAATTTTTAGGTATTGATTTTTCTCCCTCTTCTCTTTCTCTGTTATTTAATGTGTTGTCCATGTTTGTGATGTCATAGCCTGTTTCAGAGTCTGTCTTTCTCTCTGTGTGTTTTGCAGCTTCTGTTTAATCCACATTGCTCACTGCTGTGACTGTATTTTTGATGATTTTTTTTTAATTTACTGCTTTTCTGCAGTATTTGATGGTTCCATTTTCTCCTCTTTCTTTCTTCTCTCTCTGTTTTCTTTTGAAACAAATTTATTTCAACATTGGACTTCATTCAGAACTTGCAAGGAGCTCCAATGGTTGTATCCATTAAAAACCAAAATATTCATATTAAACACCAAAATGATTCAATTTTATTAAAGTGTGTTTTCTCTGTCTCTTATGCATTTGAACTCATCAAAGTACCAAAGTTTAGTTAAGTTTGGTCACATCTGCTTTCTTTTCACTAATACATAAATGACAGAAATGTTATCCCATGAGTAACCAGATGTATTTTTTCGAAAGTCCTTTACCAAATACCAATGCAAGGAGGGGATTTTTATTAATATTATTATTATATTCTTGTGAGTGAGCATTTTCTACACATAAGCCACAGTAGTGTGCGCCCACACTAAAGAGTTTTGAACCCTCCAGTGACTGGATCTACAGAAGTCTGCTTTTGGTGTAGACTCCAGCTTTTGCTGCTTCCTCCTCTTTCCCCTGGCTGCCCTTTTCTCCCTCTCCCACCCCTATCCCAAGTTCATCCCTTTGCTCTCTTTAGATTAAAGATAGAGATAATTCTAAATTTCTTAAGTTTTAGAGCCTGTCCCTAGGCAATTTCACCGGGACATGTAGTAATAAGCTGTTTACTTTGACGTTGGGAGTTATATTGATATAGAATTCTAAGTTGTTTAACTGCCTGTCTTCCCAGAATTCTCAGCTTTTGACCTGTCCTGTGATGTTAAAGCGTCTTGTTAACTGCCTTTTTTGCTTGTTGTTCAGCAGAATTGTGTAGATTAGCATTCTGTTATTGTAAATAAAGAATTAATTATTCACATGTAACATAGATGATTTAGTATATAAAGCTTTAACTCTGAAAAATTTGTACCAAATTATAAGGAATATAATAATATTTTTATGCTGTCTTTCTTCTCTCCGTATTTAAATCTCCAGAATCTATTGGTAAGTGCTTAGTTCTGAAGCGCACTTCACCCTCACTAATTTCCATATCCAGAATATTATTATTATTATTATTATTATTATTATTTTATTATTAATAAAATGCATGGCATGCATTTTACTAACTGTCAGTGTAGACACCAGATCTCGGTAGTGGCGCGCACACGCACACATCCACAGATCCGTTATTGTAAGAACACTGTGTACAAAAATAAAATAATACACAAGTTATATCACACAAATGTAGCATAGTGAGTAGCATAAGATATTCAATCAACAGTGTTTGTTTCCAGTTAGTCATTAGTATTTCCTATAACAGTATATATATATGCGTACCTATATATATACTTAAACAGATTAGCCAGGATTTTTCCTAAACTATGTCTTTAAAAAGTATCGTTTAGTTTTTTGGTTTTTTTTTTTTTTAAGAATATGAGGCATATAAGATATAATTCTAAACCTATATGACCCCAGACCTATGAACTCAGTTGTTTCTCTGAGAAAAGCAATGCTGCCTATTGTGGTCTTTGCCCTCTGTGGTATAATGCAACTTGCTTTTATAATCTAATAATACTATCTAATATATTCCTGTTTTACCAGTATAGTAATTCAAGTTTCTTTTAAGACCTTATTTAATTCTGTAAATCTAATTTAATTCTTCTCCCCAGCCCTAGCCTCCTCCTTCTCGTACTAATGCTTCTTCTTTCTAATCTTATTTGCATTCATATTATCCACCCAGGTGGTACACCAATAAGAGGTAAGAGTGCTGAACTAACGTTCACAGAATGATCTTGCTCATTCTTTCTGTCCTGTCATCACTCCCATCTTTGTCTTGTTTTCAAACTCATTCCAATAATATGTCCATCAACTTTATTTTTCCCCTTTGTACTGTTTGGTTATGATCAGTGATTCTCATATTGTGAGTTTTCCTTTTCTTTTTCTTTTCTCTTTGTTTTGTTCGTTTCTTTATTTATGGAGATGATTATTTAAGTTGTGATATGCTTCAAAGAAAGCATATCCAGGTCTTTAGACCACAGACCAGTCACAGCGTACCATCTGTCCCTCTTTTTTTCCTTTTCTTCTTCTTCCTTTTTCCTTTTTTTCTTTTTTTTTTTCTTCTTTTTCCTTTTTTTTTGTCCAACCGGAGAAAAAAAAGATCATTTTTTTCTTCCTTAGCTGTTCTTGTTCTGGACCAAAGCCAAGATGGTCTGGAGAACAGTGGCAGACATGCAGAAGACAGCCTGGAACATCTGCTTTTTGTCTTTATCTTTCAAAAGGTTTTTGCTTTTGTTCTTCAATTCTTTTTTCTCTTACTGTCTTAAAAGTCAAAGAATGACTCCCCTTTCCACCTGATCCCACTCGCCTACAACCTGACAGCAATGCTTTTTTCCCCCCACTTCTTTTTTTCTTGGATTACTCACTTCTGGATTTTTGGGTCTTCTGTCCTTCAGGCTATGGAAACAAAAGGTGCTCCGTATTCTTGGTGGTATGTGATATTGCTGGTTTGTCATACTTTGACTCAGTGTGCATTTCTTTTAGAATTCTTGTTTTGGATTTTTCTTGGGGTTTTGTGACACCACACTGCTAATCCCACTGGTGGATTTTGATGGGTGTCTTAGGGGATCCGTCTCGAGGTCCTCAAGCAGTGGCTGGTTGGTTCTTCCTTGCTGGCGTAGGCCGTGCTTTTTAACTTTTTTAAAACCTTCTAATTCAACTGCTCTTTGTTTTTCAGCAAATGTAATAAATGATTGTAAGTCGTGGCAAACTGTCTTTCTTTTCTTAAAAATCTGCATGTCTTAAGGGAGTTTTGTTTCTTTAAGTAATATTTTCATGATATATAATGACTAATTTTAATTTTTTGCTTTGTGCAGCCTTTTTGTACTCGCTGCGTATTTTTGCCTTTCTTCAGCAGAAGACTTTCTTGAAAACCCGGCCTGGTATTTTTTGAGCATACCTATCTTTTGCGCCACTTTTGGTACCCAAATGGAACAAAACAAAACCACACCAAAAATTAATCTTTTGTTTGATTTAAAAGCCATACTTCCTTGAAGCAGCCTCACCCATCTTCATTTTATTAGTCTAGGAAATGAGAGTATTAATTATGACTAGAAGTCTTGCTTGGGAAAAGAGATAATTGTTTTCTTATGCTAGCATTGATGATGTAAAAAAGAAATAATCTCTATATGTTTTTCTCATCGCATCATTTTCTGTCTGTGCACCTTAGCGAGAGATTGAATCGACGTTGAGCGGACCTTCGCTTTGCGGGGCTTTTCATATTGTTAAGAGGTTTAGCTTTCTGCGCTGAGAAAGCCTTCTCTGACCATCTCTTTGGCACTATATTTTATATCCATACAGGCGCCCTTCAGATCGAACAGAGCGAAGAATCTGACCAAGGAAAATATGAGTGTGTTGCCACCAACAGCGCGGGCACTCGCTATTCTGCCCCTGCCAATTTATATGTCAGAGGTAGGAATGACATAACCTGGCATCGCTTCTTCACTAAGGCTCAGGGGGAGTTGAGAGACCCACAAGATCTGTGTTGTTATGTCAGTAGGTACCAAACTGATACTCTAATAATCGTAGTGGCTGAAGCATTTTAGTCAACAGAGAATTAAAAGTCTTGACCCTATTGTTAAAAAAAAAATTTTGACAACTTTTGAGTACAGTCTATCCTGAGGCATGAAGTTTGTAAGTATATTTGCATTTTTACTGCATTGATTGAACTGTGCTTGGCATTTGTTTGAAGTTTTCTTCTTTTCCTTTCTGTTGCTTTTCTCTTCTGTTTCCTTTATCAAACCCTGAAATAATTGCTTGGTGTGCTACTAATCAGTTTTCTGTGCAACTCCAAGCATAAAGGTGTTTATGTCTTCAAGACCTCTGCTGCGGAGCCCGTAAGGATAAAGCTGCTAAACAAAACAAACAAACAAAAAATGAAATAAAGGTGCTACCTGCAAATAGCACAATTATGTTTTCTTTCTTTCTCTGCTTTTATATTTCTAAATACATGGTATTATGTGTGTCCATATGTCTACACATATATTTACACATATTTAAAAAACTTATTAACATTCCAAAAAGTTTAATATTTTGATTGCCATCGAACCCTGATTGTACTTTTTTTAAAAATAATATTAGTTGTCCTTGGGACAAGAATGAATTATGAGGATACATCCATGTTTTTTCATAAACTAATACAAATGATTACAGTTTGAGCTTATGAATGGCTGTGCCTTTCATGCCAACTAGAAAGGAGTACTTCTTCTTCCCCAGAGTTTTTAAAAGTTCCTGGTTCCTATAGCTTCTTGCCCAATGGAAATGCTCTTCTTCCTGGTCTAAGTGTCTGTGAACAAGCACAAAAGGTGTGGGTGGGGGTGGGAATAGATTAAAGACTGTGAGGGCTTTAAGTTACAATAGGATGGATTTCCTTAGGAAAATATCTAGCTTGATTTTGAAATTTTTGTTTGAGATAATCTTGTTTCTGTGGGGATGTTTTGCTCTCCTATCTTCCTCTGGAGTCCGGGGTGGGAGAATATGAAGAAAACCATTTCTTCTCCAAATTCTTTGAAAGCCCCTTGATCCTTTTTCTTACAACAGTGACCTCCTTTGTTGCATGAGGCATGTGTACCTTCTTCAATGGAAAAATTTCAAAATGATGCTAGCTATTGTTTCTAATACCGTATTAGTCCATGAAGTGTTGCTAACATTTTCAGCTGAGATAGGAAGGATTAACTAGAGCAAATAAAGATGTTCAAGTAGCAGTTGAAAGCCTTGATATGGCCTTTTTACTCTCTCTGTGTTTCCCTTGTTTTTCTCCTTTCCTCATTTCATTGTGTTCTGCATCAAACCCCCTACATCCCTCAGAGCTGCGAGAAGGTTGGTGTGTTTTTTACTTTTTACCCACCTTACAAAACTCTTAATTAAACCAATAACAAAGAATACAAATGAAATGAATGTAGCTGCATTGTGGTCTTCTTTTGGTTAACGGTATGTTTTAGCAGAGAATGCCCTGGCCATGGCTTCCGGTGCTTGCTGGTGGTATCTCACTGTGGTGCATGATGGGAAAGAATGTACCTGGGTGCATGGTAACTGGTAACACTTAACTCCCTCAGGTCCCATGAACTTGGGGTCAGTGTTCCTGCTTTTCTTCCTGCTCCACTCTTCCCGTCTCCTGCCCCACCTTTATTTTTGTCTTATAAGGATGCCTGCCACCCATAGAATGACTTTTGTAGTTGTTCTCCTAATACCAAGCATGAAGACTAAACTCTCCTCTATTTTTCTTGATATGTTCTTTGACACCTTAGAGTCTATACTGGCTCCTGCTTGTTTTGTGTAACCTGTGAACTGGCTGCAGGAGGCATGCTTAGCTCTCCCTTCTCCTCTGCCTATCATTCACCCATGAGGCCATCACAGCGAGCCCTCTCGAGTCAACGGACATTTATCTCAACCTTAACTATAGCCAAAATGGTTACAGACAGACTTATTTACTTATCATCTTCTTGGGTTATGGGGTTGTTTATTTATGAACTTACATATAATTTTACAAATCACTCTATTATCCATGTTTGAGGTATGCTCCTAATGATTACCTCTGGATCTAAAATACTCTTGGTGGAATGTTTTGCCAAAAAGAGCCCAAGATGAGGCCTATTTGTCCCTTACTCTCTCCCTGTACCATGTCTGAGACACATGTACTTAAGCAGACATAAACATTCAGATTATCTGAAGCAGGAACACTGAACTGTAATTGCTTGTTTGTTTTTTTTTTTCTGTGTTGCGTTGCTTTAATATGACCTATTCTTTTAATGTCACGTTTCATTGTATGTTTTAGACCCAGTGTCCTTCAATTTGAATGTAGGCATAAAAAGCCTCTTACCAGATTTTGTTACCATTATCTGTGTTGTTTTATCTTAGAAATGTTCTGAATGAAATCTTGAATGTGAAATACCCAGCTCCCTTCCTGAATTTGCAGTCCTTACTTTGACAGCCCAGCTTAATATAATATCTTCCTACTTCGAAACCTATGATCCCTTAAGTCCCTGTTTCCATCACTGTCCTCTAGCTCCTCCCTTTATGTTTAGTGCTGTTACCCTGTTATTTCTTCTGTTGTCATTGTTGTCTTGGATTTTAGCCATTCTCCCATTGTTCTAAGCACAGGCCTTGAGACTTCATTTTGTGCATGCCTTGCATGATCCAATCCAGTATCTCTACTGGCATTGGCTTTGTTTCTTCTTCTGTGAGTGTAAATTAATATATGTATATATTTCTGTGTCTGTTCCAGTGTTAGTGTGAGGTCTTGAGGCTGCATCTACTCTGAGTCTAAAAGCAAATAAGTTGCACTTTCCATGTACTCTAGACAATGTTTTCCAGGGCTGGGATGTGACAGTGTGGTCCCACACATACATTCACATCAACTGGAAGTGCACAGCACTGAAGTTGGTTTTGATATTCAACTTAAACCTGCTTGTGACCTTCCTGCCCCCTTTTCTGCATATACATGCATGCACAGAATCTTTGCTGTATGCATGCATGTATATGTTTTTGTGTTTATCTTATGCATGATGTTTGTGTATTGTTAGTTTGTAGATAGTTTTTTTTTTTTTTTGTGGGGCCCTTTGTAGGTCTGAATCAACTTTTGTATGAATGTGTCTAAGATATCAATGACTACACTAAATAATTTTTTTTCTGTGTATACACATACCATACTTGTATGGTTTGTATTATCCACAGTTTTTATTTATTTTGTTTTTGGAAAATCCACAATATGTTTCAATTGTTTAATTGTGTTTGTACAGTGCATGTCATATGTTTAACAAGCCACTTTACCTTGCCTTGTATGTTTTATCATCTTCCCTGTGTTTTGTTCCAGTTCGCCGTGTCCCACCAAGATTCTCTATCCCACCTACTAATCATGAAATCATGCCAGGTGGAAGTGTTAATATCACCTGTGTGGCCGTGGGGTCACCAATGCCTTATGTGAAGTGGATGTTGGGGGCAGAAGATCTGACACCTGAAGATGATATGCCAATAGGAAGAAATGTACTGGAACTGAATGATGTAAGACAGTCAGCAAACTACACCTGTGTTGCCATGTCAACACTAGGTGTCATTGAAGCAATAGCACAGATCACTGTCAAAGGTATGCTCAGTGGTTCTTGCTTTGAGGGTCTGGGTATACTCAACTCACCTGACTAATGTCTTCACAAAGTCTATCCTTGGAATTCTAAAAGGAATCAATTCATCATTCAGTATTTCAGATGCCAAAGTCTAATCATATCTATGGTACCATATAGGATACACATGTCTAGCTAGGTAGGCAGATTCTCCATTAAAAGGATTGACAGCCTAAGTAATGATAGTCATCAAAATATTTAACAATAGGCTGGGCCCATGCACTAGCCAGGCAGAATGAGGAATGTTAAATGCAGTCAACCATTTTGATAGAACTGATGCATACAGGTTTCATATTAATCCAGAATCCTGGTAAGAGTGACATGATAGATGGGGCTCCTGGGTGGCTTAGTTGGTTAAGCAACTGACTTCGGCTCAGGTCATGATCTCATGGTTTGTGGGTTCGAGCCCCATGCCGGGCTCTGTGCTGACAGCTCCGAGCCTGGAGCCTGCTTCAGATTCTGTGTCTCCCTCTCTCTCTGTTCCTCCCCTGCTCATTCTCTGTCTCTCTCTGTCTCTCAAAAATAAATAAACATGAAAAAAAAAAAATTTCAAGAGTGACATGATAGAAAAAGCCAAAGAAGTATTAATAAATGCTCAAATCCACGCAGACAAAAGAAAAAGAAAGATAAATAGTTAAATCAATGTGGTCTAATAATAGATGTTTTAAATTTTTGATGGTTCCTATCACAAAAATCAAAATGTAAGTGGCATTATATTCTATTTTAAATTTATCTCTTACCTTCTGTGCATGAAGTGCTCAAGAAATGTTATTTTCTTTAAATGAGTGCACTAAATATAACTAAAGTTCTGTATTCCACAAATATTTTTGAAACAAAGAAAACAGAAGTAAGTGTGTGAGCCACTAATCGGTTTTATCAGTGTTTGTAGAATTCTACAACACTTTTGCAAAAAAGGGAAGACTGAAGATGCCTGGGTTCTTGCAGAAGTCTGGAGCTATTGCAAAAATGAATACAAATTGTCTTTGCTTTCCAGGAAGTATGATCCTAAAAAAAGTAATGCACATGTTATAATTGGTGTCATACCCTCACCAAGAATATATATCAAATATATGCCATATTAAAGCAATAATGCCATGAGAACAAAGATACACATCAGTGTCAACATTTAATCATTTAAAAATAGTGACATTGTATTGCCTATCCTTAACTGTACTAAGCATACTCACACTTCTCCATACATTATAGACACAAAACCTATACTGTACAGTAAATGTGACAGAAAAACTAATGTCTAAGTATCAGTAAACACAGTTTTAATTAGCAATATTTTCACTTGCCTGAATAATTCAGAAAGACATCTAGGGAAAATTTGGATCATCTACTCTTTTGAAAAATTCCCATCCAGAATATTTAAACAAATATCTTTTTATTATTTTCAGTAAAATCCCTTGGCCAAATATTATCATGCTAGAGTTCTTAGAGTAAAATGCAAACATTGAATCACCTCTCCTATAATAACTATTTCAGCTTTAAATATTTGAAGGTTTAGTGAAGACCTTCAAGAATTTAAAATCAGGAGTCACATAAACGAAAATTCTTGTTCAATTTCTTATCTTTGTTTTCCTGACTCTTGCCATTCCTTACCCTCCACACCTCAAAAGTAAATAAACATAAGGGTAAATCTTGAAGGCAAAAAGTAAATCAAAACAAAAAGAGCAACTGGAAGATAGTGACTGACTCATTCATTCAGTTAGGCATTCATTTGCTTAACACTGCTGGGCTTAGGTATTGAGGATAGAGCAATATTCAAGTACAAGTTTACTACTCTTAAAAAGCTGCCATTGTACTTGAGTATTGTACTTTTTGCCTTTATGTTGACAAGGGAAAAGGGTACTAAAAGGCTAATCATCTGAGTGTTATATCCTAAGCTTTTTCCAAAATGTTAGCTAATGGGATTGTCCTTTCTCCCCTACTAAAAATACCTTTCAAAATCATTCTCCAGAGTGATATGCTTAAGTATGAGGTCACCAGTGTGGATGGTTTGTATTGTTAATCAGTAGCATTTTGAGTGAGCTTCTTCTGCTAAATGTCAAGAATTGGAGCTCTAAAAGATGGATTTAATTGCGAATATTTGCCAGGTAGCTATAATTTCAGATATTATTGGTATTGAGTATAGAATACATATTATTACCAAAACTGCTTTAAAAAGTTATTTGTGAATGTACTGTAATTTAGTTAAGCATTTTCAAATATTAACTAAAAAACTGAATTTGAAATTAATCAATTTAAATTTACTATTCTTTCTTAAAACTCTTGGTTAGGTTATATTACTATATGTAAAAAAAATAATAATCTATGCCTTACAACTGGAAAACAAAATGGATATTATTCTTCCATAACAATTTAATGCCATTTCAATATATTCCAAATTGTGTTCTTTTCAATGTTGGTATTTAGTTATATCATTTATTTCTTGAAGCAAGGGGCTAGTTGGCCAAGGTCATGGTTATAATAATAGTAATAATTGCAACTAATGTTTTTTGAGGGTGCTGGATACATTCTAAGAGCATTACTGGAGTAGCTCATTAGTCTTTCCAGCAAACCCATGAAACAGTTCACCAACTGTACCATACAAGTTCAGTGATACAGTTTTTCCTATTTCTCACATGAGAAAACTAAAGCAAAGAAGAGGCTATTGCATCCAGGATCACATAGCTAATAAGTGATGGACGTGGATACAAGCCCCAAAATACAGTGCTGTAATGTGCTTCTAGTAAAATTTGTCCCCTATGCATCTGTCCTACACATGTAGAAAACTATCTTTTGTTTTAATTTATTCTTCAGTAGATACATAATTCTGTCATTCCAGTAGTAGAGTTTATAGATCTTTTTAACACCTTAGATATGATGGATACTTACTGTCCCTTTTTCTCCCCCTAAGCCTTACCCAAACCTCCAGGAACGCCCGTAGTGACCGAGAGCACAGCCACAAGCATCACATTGACGTGGGACTCTGGGAACCCTGAGCCTGTCTCTTACTACATCATTCAGCATAAACCTAAAAATTCTGAGGAACCTTACAAAGAAATTGATGGGGTGGCGACCACACGCTACAGTGTCGCTGGACTAAGTCCCTACTCGGATTATGAATTCAGGGTTGTTGCTGTTAATAACATTGGGCGGGGACCTCCCAGTGAGCCTGTGCTAACACAGACCTCAGAACAAGCACCATCCAGTGCCCCACGGGATGTCCAGGCGCGGATGTTGAGTTCAACCACCATTTTAGTACAGTGGAAGGAGCCTGAGGAGCCAAATGGACAGATCCAAGGATACAGAGTTTATTATACAATGGATCCCACACAGCATGTCAACAACTGGATGAAGCATAATGTAGCTGACAGCCAAATCACTACTATTGGCAACTTAGTGCCCCAGAAAACATATTCTGTCAAAGTTCTGGCTTTTACCTCAATTGGAGATGGTCCTCTTTCAAGTGACATACAAGTCATCACTCAGACAGGAGGTAAGTCTAGTTTGGATGGGGAGTAGGGAAGGAGGGGAGGAGTTGGTGCCAAGATGTGTGAATGGTGAACAGAGAAAGAACAAAGTGAATGTGAATTTTAATTTTTGAGACTTAGAGTTTCTAAATGAGAGGTTAAGATAAGGCATCTGGAAAGAAACAGGCATAGACACCTGAAAGACTAAATAAAGTTTTAAGTAGAGGGATGCATTTAGCATATTTTTATTTTATTTTTTTATAATTTGTACCTAAACGGCTTGAAGATTTTTCTGCATGAGATAGATGAATGCATCCTCCATGCAGCATTTTGGAAACAGGACTGTGGTGCTTTATAGTAGTGACTCTGATGGAATACTTTTACAAAATTATTTAACTTGTGAAAGATTGGATGGCTCAAGATAAGGTTAAAAATAAAATCATTTGTCAGGGGGTCTTGGACATTTAAATGTCTTATAAATATAAGAAAGGAAGCTACCCACTAAAAATAATCTCCTAAGGTTTTTTTTTTTTTTTTTTTTTTTT